AAAAAAAAAAAAAAAAAAAAAATATTGGGATGAGAAGAGCAAGAACGCGTTTTACATGGATAGATATGGATTCTCCCTTGCCTCTCTACCGATTTTGATGAGGTCGAACGTCGTCCAGAACGAGGTATGTCTTCAACAATCTCTCGACAGTCTTTGAAGGCTTTATAATACTTGTAGGCTTGTGTTTTTGATAAAACTGAATCACCGTAAACCTTTTCCCACATTCGCAACGATTCCGCACATGAAATTTGGTTATGAATACAAAATTTAAAAAAACCATCTCGGTATATTTTTGGTTGAGAGTTGCCAAGTCTTGAATAAACTATTTCTGCAATGTTTTGTTCCGATATCTTCATGCAGGGAGTTATGATATATCGAATTTAAGTTTGATAGTAATCCAATTTTGCTCACATTCAAGGTGTTAAAGTATCAGATTAGTTGAATTAGCTCAAGATATTTGGTACTATGAGATGCCCTGTCCATTGTATAAGTTTTTCATCAACTCATATGCAACCCCACCGTCCCATGCTTACTGTGAAATTTATTTTGAAGATAAGTTTTTCGACTAAAAACGGTAGATATAGCTTTATGAATTTGGGAGATAGTTTCATTACAAATATGTCGCCAAATATTCCTATTCCTCTTATGATTCGTTATTTCAATTTTTTAGGCGATATTTTCTGAGCATTTGTCAAAATCGCGACATCTAAAGTTCATGATATTTACATATATAAGTAGAAGATATTTACATAAATGTTTGTTACATTTTAGAAAATTCAAAAAATTTTAGGATGTCTGATGCAAATTGTATGGCCAAGAGGTCAATTATTTAATACTTGGCTCCTGGTTCCCAATGTCTAAAGTTCACGTGAGGATCCTGCTGTGGTGTGATAAGACCGAAGAAGAGCGGTTTTTAGTTAATTCTTCTTTTTTATTTTACATAGCATAATTGAGTTGTCTGCTCATTATATGTGGGACCGACAGACGAACGAAAGACGACTAGAAGTGGATATAACTTTTGACACTTTCTACTAACATAAAGACGAAGATAAGAACAAACGGACGGTAGCGTGTACCTCTAGAGCGGACAGCCATTGTATGGGCACCAAACCTGAAAGACCATCTACAATATTTTATAATAAATATAATTTTAAATAAACCTAATTAAATAATTGAATTCAAATCTACATATATTTCCGATATATTGTTCTAATATATGAATTCCTATGCCTTGCAGTCTAATTGTTAATTGGAATTGTTTGGTGCCCTCAGGATCTACTCATCCTTTTCCTTTACAAGATCTGGAAGATATGCATTTTTACCATATCTTACATGAGAAATAAGTTTTGTTTTGGATTTCTAAAATTACAATAACATTTATTCAGAAACTTTTATCGGGTATGCAGTTGTATTAATGGTGAACAAAGCGGGCGACTGAAGCACCATGAACCACTGGTACGACGGGCGCAACAACTGGAACATGATGAACCACTGGGGCGGAGTAGGATTTCACAACTGGAACTACGGGAGCGGCATGAACCACGGGAACGACTGGAGCAACAGTTTTGACTACTGGAACCACAGGAGCAGAGTAGGTCTTCCCAACTGGAGCAACATGAACCACTGGAGCCACAGCTTTCACCACCGGCGTAACAATGTGGGCGTTGTTGTGTACTTGAGTGATGCTCTGGTGGGAGGTGGCAGATGGAACGGTGTGCACTTTGACCACAACGGGTTGAGCGATGAAACCGGGAGCAGCGGTGGCGATGGCGAAGAGAGCGGCGAATGTGATCTGGAAAAAATGTTAAAATAATTTTAGATTTTATCGTAATTTCATCATTTCGTGATCTCACATATTTGAACATGTTGCTGCTGTTGTATAGTTTTAGATATGAAATCAAACTGATAATTTACTATTTATTTCGTGTCAAATTTATAGTGTGCAAATCAGTATGAAATCCACCAGAATAACACCATTTTGACATTGATTTGACACTACAATACTTCAGCAAATTGTTTTGGTCACTAACATTTCTAGTGCGACCAGAGGATATACGTACTAAAAATGCTTTGTCAGTGCATACAAAAACAGACACTTCATTAGTACTTGCTACAGTTTGACATACTACTTAATTACGGGCAAAAATGTGCACTGAAATTTTTCAGAAAATTCAATTGAATAGCTTGTATCTACTTTTATTTACACTGCGCTAACAATACTGCTTAAAGTTTCATATATATATATTTTAATAAAATTCACATACGACTGAAATGAAGTGGCCAAAGACCCGAAAATTTGTTTTTGTTCCTAAGTGTAATCGCAATGAACTTTATTGGTTTTCCTCAACTGATGTATTGATGCTATTTTTATAAAACGTGTACTATTTTTATTTCGATAACAACGAACTTGTTTTAACACACAATTATCCCTGTATTTCTCAAAAAGTTTGGCATAAAAACTTCTCGAATTGCGGGCGTCTAAGGTTTGTCTAGAGCATGTTGTGCGTAGTAATCCATCACTGTCAATAAGTATTTTCTTATTCTAAGCTCCGATATTCACTTCTCTTGTTTGCTCTGCTTAGCTTGGAACTGCTGAGGCCGCGACTTGTTGCTAATAGGCTTTGAAAAGGGTGTAGCGTCTGACGCGCATGCGCTGCCAATCACGTTGGATTATTGTTCTGAATAATGTTGCACAAAACAGCACAACGCAAAAACTCGTTGTTTGTGGTTGCTTAATGTTTGTCTAGTAAAAATTTTCAAGTTCAATGCCGGCCATACAAGCATTGATTTTTGCAACAAACAGCAAAAATACCGTTAAAAATTATCAAAAAAGAAGTGAATACAATATTTAGTAAGCTGCTTACTAAATTTTTCATATTTTGTAGTTGCGAAAAATTTCTTACAAATATGCTGCGAGAAACATAGAAAGATATCAGTTTCGGCACAGTTTTCTTGCAGTAAACAGTCACAATCACCAAACGAGCAAAATGTTCAAATATGTAAGTTACAATTATTTGTAGACTAAGGAATGTGATAATAATCAATCTTTCCAAAATAGATTACCTTCGCCGCTGTCTTCGCATTCGCCACCGCTGCTCCCGGTTTCATCGCTCAACCGGTTGTAGCCAAAGTAGGTGCCGTTGTACACACCGTTCCCTCTGCCACCTCCCACMAGAGCATCACTCAAGTGCACAATAATGCCCAAATTGTTACACCTGTTGTGAAAGCTGTGGCTCCAGTGGTTCATGTTGCTCCAGTTGTGAAGACCTACTCTGCTCCTGTGGTTCCAGTAGCCAAAACTGTTGCTCCAGTCGTCCCCGTGGTTCATGCCGCTCCCGTAGTTCCAGTAGTGAAGTCCTACTCCGCCCCGGTGGTTCATCATGTTCCAGTTGTGAAGTCAGTTGTTGCCCCCGCAGTGCCAATAGTTCATGCCGCTCCTGTTGTGAAGACAGTTCTTTCAGCCCCTGTTCCGCACTTTGTTCATCACTAATTATACTGTGATCTAAAAGTTGTTGAATAAATATATAAGATTTTAATCTATGAAACCCCTTCGTTTTTTATAATTTTTCCAGAAATATAAAATATTATATAACTTATAAGTAATAATAATAATGAAGTACATAATTAAACAAATGCAATGCTGCAGGTTATCATCCTGAGTGTAACAAACAAGGAACGAACTTAGACAAATTCCTAAGTGATGTAGAGGTACATAATATAGAAGTGCTGATGGAAAACTAAAAATAAAAAGACTTTTTCCAAACGCCCCGGGTTCACCGAACTAATGGTTGATATTATCAAGCTCCACTTGAAAGTTTTCAAATCAATATAATATTTGCCCTCTTGCATCAAACCTTGGGACAAAAAGGCCGCGAAAAATGTAATTAAATTTCCCGGTAAATGATATTTCAATAAACTGTATTTTCCTAAGTTGGTAGGATTGCCCTTAATTTCTACGCAAAATATGAGTGTGATCTGTCAACCGGTTTGCTTACAGCAGCTGCTTAAGTCGGTGCACCTCAGATGTGCGTTGCGATTTTAACAATAAATGAAAATATAGATCAAAGAATTTGTCTCAAATTTTGTATTTCTATCCAAATTTCGTATCCGAAAAAGTTGCAAATGTTGTAAAACGCTTATGGTAATTCAGTTTTATCAAAAACACAAGCCTACGAGTGGTGCAAACCTTCGAAAACGTTCGAGATGTTGTTGAAGACATGCCTTGTTTTAGACGACTTTTGACCTTTTCAACTGGTGAAAATATGAAAAAAGGGAAGGATATGGTGCTTAAAAATCGTCAGACTAGTGTGAGAGAGATGGCAAGAGAGCTCGACATCTCTCGTGCGTCCATTGGAATGGTTTTGCTGGATATTTTAGGTATGAAACGCGTTCTTGCTTGACTCGTTGCTTTTTGTTTGTTAAGGGAGAATTTTACTTCTCAATTGCCTACTCAGTCCGAAGTAGCACCTTAAAGGTGCTTAAAAATCGTCAGACTAGTGTAAGAGAGATGTCAAGAGAGCTCGACATCTCTCGCGCGTCCATTGGAATGGTTTTGCTGGATATTTTAGGTATGAAACGCGTTCTTGCTTGACTCGTTGGTTTTTGTTTGTCAAGAGAGAATTTTACTTCTCAATTGCCTACTCAGTCCGAAGTAGCACCTGGTGGTAAGAGTTATTCTGCGTTGGATTTCCAGGCTGACATTGTTGGTGGTGTTTACACTGGTTCCCAAATATATGAAACTATCTACAACTTCAAAGTTACGACTATCAACAGTAACGTGAGTGCCAAGTCGCGAGTGCGACGACCGTTTGTTTGATGACAGGAGATATTTCGTCTTGCCCTCGTTCACTGCCAGACCCTTCTGCTTTGTTTCCTTGTCCAGTCTGGAGAAAGCAGAAGTAACGGCGCGGGTGTTGAGGCCGATGATATCAATATCGTCAGCATACGCCAGTAGCTTTACACTCTTATAAAAGATTGTACTTGGTCGATTAAATTTTGCAGCCCGAATTATTTTCTCCAACACCAGTGTGAAGAAGTTTCACGTTGAAAACTCGTTTGGTATCGAACGGCTCGGAGAGGTCCTTCCCGATGCTGACGGAGCTTTTGATGTTGCTCAACGTCAGTTTACACAGCCGTCTTAGTTTTGCGGGGATACAAAATTCAGATATCGCCGCAGAAAGGCAGCTCCTTTTCGTGCTGTCAAAGGCAGCTTTGAAATCCACTCCCTCGGTGATGTTTGTCGATTCTCTTTTCACGGGTCTTCAACAAGAATTGGCGCATGGTGAGTATCTGCTCAGTTGTTTATTTTCCAATCCTGAAGCTATACTGATAAGGTCCAATCAGTTAATTTGAGCTTTGATCTCTAGATTAAACATCAAACTTCATACGAACATAAAAAGGTTGTAGCAATTTGAAAAAAAAAAAAAAAAAAAAAACGATTGGGCTTGCGTTCGGATTGAGCAATTATTAGGTACGTAAGTAGATTTCAGACGACGCTTTCAGCCTTTATGAAGTTCATTTTGAAACTACCGGGACTAAAATCTTAATGATTGATGACAAAATTGTGAAGTCTCGGCCTATTTTTCAAAAATACCTAGTACTCCTACTGGAGTTTTACACGTTGGTCTATCAAATACCAATATAGATACAAGGTGCAAGAGGAATATATAAAATATATAATCTCTTCTTTTCGGAGTCTGCTCTGGCTAGTTCGTCTGCTTCACAGTTGCCAGGAATATAACTGTGTCCTGTAACCTATTACATGGTTATAGTGAAATAGAAAGATATCAATGCATTATTTCTCTATCATCGATTAAACCCTAATTGGATTTAGAGATTTCAAAGCCACTTAGATAGCCAAGTATATATAAATATATTTCTTGTTTGGAAGCACCCTCGGAAAGAAAGCAGCTTTACTTAATTTATGTGATCTCTGCTGAGAATACACTGCAGTGGCCGGGTAGTCGGAAGGCAATTCTGGTATCTATCTGAAAAGACACTACCTTCCACTCGATTAAGTGGTTTGCGGGGGTTCTTCTAGTTACGTTCTTTCCCAGGTCGGAGGTACGAATACCTCAAGCACAATAAATCCCTGCCTCTCCATTAGATGATAGGAGTTGGAGTACGCCTTTGGTTTGGTTAGGTGTGAATAGTCCTTAGGTATTGATAGTTTGAGTGGAGAGATGTGCAAAAGCTTATGGTAGTTCATTCTGGAATACCTCGAGGCCATTTATAATAAGTGCCTCTATGAGGAATACCTTCCACGCGAGTGAAAAAGCGTTAGAGCTGCTCCTCTCCCGAAGTCCCCTGATAAGATCAGGAGCGATCCTCGATCGGACTGATGCCCGAAAAGTACTTGAAAAAGTGCTGGAAATAACTATGGTAGAACGGCTTCAGAAGCTAATGCGGGGTTTGTGGTCAAATAGGCAGTATGGATTCAGGAAAGCACACAGTATAGAGGATGCATGGTTCTTTGTTCAAAATGTTGTCAAGGACATATTTGTTGACTTTTTGCAGGGTTCCATCTGTGTCCATATATCTGGATTCTCATGATGGACACAAAAAAAAAAAAAAAAAAAAAACTGGAAGCCTTTGCGCTTATTAAGCAACGCGTCAGGAATACCGCTGTGCATGTAGGAATTGGAGGTGATTACCCTTGAATTAGCCATTCCCGCACCTAGGTTATTTGATATAATGCAAATTGTGTAGCTTCTGAGTCTTCACATGTATAGACGTAGGTCAGTTAGTTAGGTAATTCAAAGTGTGCGTATAAAAATAAAGTCCGAAATGTAGAAACCGGTTGCACTGTAATTCACAATAACTCCACACAATTGAATTTGCTTTTTATCGTGCACTTTTCTTCTCTCATTACCAACAACAAATAAACTATGATAACCAATTTGATTGATGTTGGGCTTGGTGCTAAGCGGCAAATGGTTTTGTATAAAAAGGCTAAGCGAATGCAACAAAATTATCAGTTCCCATTTAACTGTCAACCAAGCACCAATAAAAACTCAAAAATGTTCAAATACGTAAGTTGACTGCAGCTCATCTAATTCATATAATCAAAATCTATTGACTATCATAATCTCTATAAAAATATAGGTCGCATTCTTTGCCCTCCTTGCTGTTGCTGCTGCCAAGCCCGGTCTGCTCGCTGAGACACACACCATCGTTCAACCAGCTGTGGTTGCTAAAACTGCCTATGTCGATACTAGCGCATCCTCGGCCATAACTCACCAGAGCCACGTGAACCTCGTCAGGAAAGTGCCAGTTGTTCCAGTCGTCCACGCCGCACCCGTCGTACATGCAGCCCCTGTCTTGAAGACCGTCTCCGCTCCAGTGGTACATGCAGCCCCTGTGGTTCACTCCGCTCCAGTCTTGCATGCCGCCCCCGTAGTTCACTCCGCTCCTGTCGTCCATGCTGCTCCTGTGGTTCACTCGGCTCCCGTAGTTCATGCTGCTCCCGTTGTCCATGCTGCTCCAGTTGTCCACTCGGTGGTCCATTCAGCCCCTCTAGTCAAAACTGTAGTATCATCTCCATTAGCCTACAGCATCCACCATTAAAAAAATATGTAAATTAAAGGTGATATGAGAAATACAGCGGCAGAAAATTGTTAACAAAATATTTAAATAATAAAAAGACGATTTTATAAAAATACATACTTCCATTTCCATATTTCTAATAGTACAGAGTGTATTGGTATATGCCTATTACCTTTGGTAATTCTCTACTTCAGAAGGCATATTTTATATTGACGAATCTATTAGAAACAATACTATAATTCCAATATTGTATGTGATTCAAAATATATGTGATGGGATCATAAGTTTTCGATTCCCTTTCAAAGATGAAATACAGACTTCCAGAAGTATATATTATTTTGTAAAAGAGTTAATTATCTCAACGTTTTAAAACGAAATTTTTAAAATTTATTGTGTTTCCCATAAAAAAATGAGTAATTATTACCAAAAAACAGCCTATCTATTTTTGGATACTTGAAATACAATGCATCACATATGAAGGAGTCATAAGCGTTCAAGAGATCTCATCTCATTTCATTTCACGACATCCCTAAAAGTCACCAACCAACTGGGGATGTCAAAAGCAAAGATGATCTATTAGATGGGTGTATGCTCACACCTTTGTTCGGCCACAATTCCTGACCAAGCTAAAGAAAAACTTTTATATTATACAATCACCCAATCAAACGAAATTTGCTGTTTCACTTTCTAAGTTTATTTGTCTCACATTTTCTTTCAAGTTGGCGTTTGGGAAATATTAGGAATTATGTCCGATTCTATATGTTTTCTTTACAGAACAGTGTGTGTATTACAATTTGTGTGTAGTCACAAAAAATAATCAACGCGATTCAAAGAATGTTTGAACATCTAAAGAAACTTAGATTTCAGTTTATAAGAACTCGGTGCATATGTATAATTCATTGAAATTAAATTTAGTATTGAGTTTTATGTTTATTTTATTGGTTTTAGGGTATACTGATTAATAAGTTTAATGGTGAACCACGTGAGTAACAAGAGAAGTCTGCGCTGAAACCACGGGTGATACGCGACAAATCTTATTATAAAGTTCCAGGTTGTCCAAACAACCAAATATTTCTTGTTTTCCTTCAAAATATCTTTTTCTTTTATGGTCTCAAGATTTTGTTGTCTGGAGTGAGCAAACGCGGCTTCCATCGCACCGACAACTCTCAGGTTCAATATTTCATGCAAACTACAGGATGGGCCAAAAAAACCAAGGGGTGTAAAAGTTTAATAACTTTTTCGTTTATTAATTTTTTTTTATTTTTTCTTTTAGATTATATAGACAGTGCTTGGAGAATTTATAATGGAGAGGTACACAACTGAACAGACAACCAGAACAATAGAATTTTATTATTTAAACCAGAGATCAATTATTTTAACGCGAAGAGCATATCGTGATTATGAGTGATGAAGCTCATTTTCATTTGAATGGCTTTGTTAATAAGAAGAACTGTAGGTTCTGGGGTTCTCAAAATCCAAGAGCCATTCATCAACGCCAATTACATCCCATCAGTTGTACAGACAGTATGGTGTGGGATCACATCTGAAAATGTCATTGGGCCTTACTTCTTCGAGAATGAAGATGGAAGTGCTGTAACCGTAAATGGAGAGCGGTATAGGTTTATGATAAAAGATTTTTTACGTCTTGCCCTTGAAAACAGACCTGGTATGTGGTTTCAGCAGGACGGAGCTACTGCCCATACTGCCTGAGACACAATGGCACTTTTAAGTTACACCCCTTGGTTTCTTTTGGCCCACCCTGTATAAGCGCACGGTTTTACAGATGCCCACAGTCTCAGTTATTTCTCGCAACTTTAAGGGGTTAAATGGGTGTCCTCGGGTAAAAAACAGTTTTTTAAATTTTTTTTTTTCATCTAAAAAGGAAATTATAATTTTTTATTACTACACACATAAATTATTAACAAAGAAATTCTGTTGTTTTTGGAAAAAAATACGTTGAACTCGGCTAAGCAGCTTACTAAATATTGTATTCACTTCTTTTTCGATTATTTTTAACGGTATATTTGCTTAAGTTTGTTGCAAAAATCAATGCTTGTATGGCCGACATTGAACTTGAATATTTTTACTAGACAAACACGCAACTAGTTTTTGCGTTGTGCTGTTTTATGCAACATTATTCTGAACAATAATCCAAGGTGATTGGCAGCGCATGCGCGTCAGACGCTACACCCTTTTCAAAGTCTTTTAGCAAAAAGTCGCGGCCTCAGCAGTGCCCAGGTAAGCCGAGCAAACAAACAAGAGAAGTGAATATCGGAGCTTAGAATAAGAAAATACTTATTGACAGTGATGGATTACTACGCAGAACATGCTCTAGACAAACCTTAGACGCCCGCAATTCGAGAAGTTTTTATGCCAAACTTTTTGAGAAATACAAGGATAATTGCGTGTTAAAAATAAGTTCGTTGTTATCCAAATAAAAATAGTACTCGTTTCATAAAAATAGCATCAATATATGTATCAGTTGAGGAAAATCAAGAAAGTCCATTGCGATTACACTTAGCAACAAAAAGAAAAGTTTGAGTTTTTAGCCACTTCACTTCATTCGTTTATGAATTGTATTAAAATATCAACTCATTGTAAAAACAGTTATCTTCTTATACATATGTACATATGTATGTATATAAAAATGAGTCGCAAAATGTGTTGCTAAACGCATAACTCAACAACGTCTGGACTAATTCTTTTTCTAAATGTTCGTTGAAGTTCAAAGATGGTTTTTACGGCGAGAAAAATTCTAATAACTGCCGGAAAACCCCCAAAAACAGCGGTTTACATTTTTGGTTTCATGAATGTTTGTTGGTTAGTAACGCTAAGAGAACGGCTGCACCAATCCAGAGGTTGTTGGTTGTGGATCGGGGAAGGCTTAGAAATAAAAATACCTTATGCTTTCCATGAGGAAAAGTCGGAAAATTGGACAATTCCATAAAGTAACTTTTATCAATACAAATTTTTTTTTAATTTTTGTTTGTTTTTCAACATTTTGATTTGTAAATTATTTGAATCTTTCAATTTYGGKMGATTGCTTTTTTATTCCGGCAATTCAAAAGAAAAATTGTTGAGAATTATTCAGTGAAAACTTTATGTGTGTTGCACACAAAGTGATCAATTACAGATTAAAATTTGTTACGATGCCACAAACAGGTCGCTCTAATGTCGGTCGGCTTTCTTTTTGCCATCAACGTACGGCAGCCCAAGGCAAGGCAAGGCAAGAAGTACTCCCAGGATGCGATGACATACGTGCGGAATTATGGATCTCGGTCAATTAGCAAGCTATCGTCACGATGTCACAGCACGACTTTTCAAACAACAGTTACGATGTTTGATGGACTTTATCTTCAAGCAACTTATATATGGCGCTGTTAGAAGCTAGATGTACTCTGTAGAGTGGCACATTCTTCTTTTAATGGTGGATGGTGGTTACACCAGATCAAATTGATGAAATTATTTCTGCGGAAATTCCTGATGCAGAGAAAGATCCAGTATTATACGACGTGATGAAAACCAATTTGGTTTACGGACCTTGCGGACACCACAATCCCACTTCGGCTTGTATGTCTGACAATAAATGCACGAAACATTATCCTATTGCTTCTCTTTCGGAAACACACATTTTAAATTATGGACATCCACTCTATCGGCGTAGCTCACCAGACGACAATGGCGGAATATTCAGCATTTAATGTAGAAGAATGAATATCGAAGTTGACAACTCATGGATCGTACTATTTTCACCACTAATTCACATTCAAAACTCATATCAATGCTGAGTGTTGCAGTTTGGTGTAATCGATAAAATACGTTTGTAAATACGTCACTAAAGGAAGCAACAAAATTAACATTTACTACTTTTTTCTCAACTTTCGTCAGTGAACCGTCTGCGAGAACATTGCTCTATTCGGAAATACCTTGATAGTATACATGGAATGCATCATCGAAGAAATAGTTACGCAAAAAACAGTCCAACCAGTGGGTGGACATCCAGGTGTGTTATCACGTAATACATCAGCACGAACTTACATAATCTACCCGAAAAACGACTACTGATTCTACTTTCGATTGCTATTGATTAATGTACGCGGTTAATATTCATTCGAGTATTGCGTACTATGAATGGTATGGGAAAGAGAATATTATTTATGAAGATACTCAGCGATACGGAGGTTGAGCTATGGATCTTTAAGCTCTCTTGGCAGCGCAAATGTGAACAGTAGGTAGATGCTATTCAACAAAATTTTTTGACAAATTTCAGTGCACATTTTTGCCCGTAATTCAGTAGTATGTCAAACTGTAACAAGTACTAATGAAGTGTCTGTTTTTGTATGCACTGACAAAGCATATTTAGTAGGTATGTCCTCTGATCGCAATGGAAATGTTAGTGACCAAAACGGGTTGCTGAAGTATTGTAGTGTCAAATCAATGTCAAAATGGTGTTATTCTGGTGGATTTTATACCGGTTTGCACACTATAAATTTGGCACGAATTAAATAGTAAATTATCAGTTAGATTCCATATCTCAAACTATACAACAGCAGCAAGATGTTCAAATACGTAAGACCATTAATTGCTTAAATTAAATTAAATAAGATAAAATGTAAAATTATTTTCAAATTTATTCCAGATTACATTCGTCGCGTTCAACGCCATCGCCACTGCTGCTCCTTATTTCATCGCTCAAATCGTTGTAGCCAAAGTAGGTGCCACTGTACATACAGTTCCATCTGCCACCTCCCACCAGAGCATCACCCAAGTGCACAGTAATACGCATTTGTTACACCTGTTGTGAAAGCTGTGGCTCCTGTGGTTCATGTTGCTCCAGTTGTGAAGACCTACTCTGCTCCTGTGGTTCCAGTAGTAAAAGCTGTTGCTCCAGTCGTCCCCGTCGTTCATGCTGCTCCCGTAGTTCCAGTAGTGAAGACCTATTCTGCACCGGTGGCTCATCATGTGCCAGCTAATGTTGCCCACGTTGTTCACCACTAAATTTATTAATTGCTTCTTATTGCGGTATACTTTGTGATGGTTAAAATAAATATAAAATCGAATATTAAATTTTATATCCATGGAGTTTGTGTCGGCGCTGCAGTCTAATTCTTTAAGATTGATAGTGCTGGTGACAAATAAAAAACGAGATTGCAAGACAAAGCTTGCAATTGTATTTTTTAGGTTCTTATACTTTTTTGTTCATTAGATTGATCTAATGGTTTATTAATATCAATGCGAAAATATTGTTTTTTTTTTCTTCAGCTCCACTTTTGATGATGGAAAAAACACGTAATTAACATGTTGATTAGCGGAAACTTTACAAATTATATTTTCTAACAAAATCGGAATTTCAATTTTATAAAATTCCATAAGTTCTACCAAAATGGAATGCATATTTTTGCCCATATACGTTCCTCAGGAAGACAAATCCTGGTGAATACGATGACCGAGCAATGGCTCTCGTTATGTATTTACCTACAAAATCAGTCCCAATCCTTTTAGAATGTGACGGAGCTTTATCGTGCTAAAAATCCAAGTATTTTCTGCTCAAAATCCGGTCGACGAATTACTTCACGTAGATGACTCAGAACGATCGATCATTTGACCTTATAGATTGAATTCACAGTCAAACACTCCACGGCAATCAGGCATTGTATTGATTTTTGACACACTTTGACGTTCATTTTTCGTTTTCGGATCAATTTTTCAGCTCTATTTTCTAGATTGTTTAAGAGTCGATGTCATATTCATAAATCCGCGCCTCGTTATCAGCAATGAATCATTTCATGAATATAGGCTCTTGAGTTGCGCTTTCAAGAATCTCTTTTTGAGGTCGTTTGGCACGCGTCTACCATTTATACACTTCATACCCAAAACATTAACGAAACATGTTGAGTCAATCCATAAGATATACTGAGATTCTCTGCTATTTCTCTTTTGCGAAAACGATAATTTCTAATTACTAAGTAAAATTAAACAGTTTTAGCTGCAGATCTGAATAGAGAAGAATGTACAACTGCTAGCGTACGCTGATAATATCGATATCATTGGCCATAAAAACCATGTTATTAATTCTGCTTTCTACAGGTTAGACAAAGAAGCGAAACAAATGGATCTGGTAGTGAACGAGGTCAAGACGAAATACAATCTCCTGTCATTAAACAACAATTTGTCTCACTCGAGACTAAGCACCGACGTCACTGTGGACAGTCATAACTTTGAAGTGGTAGATAATTTCTTCCATCTTGGAATCAGCATTAATGCCAACAACAACGTCAGCTTCGAAATTCATCGCAGAATAATTCTTGCCAACAGGTGCTACTTCGGACTGAGTAGCCAACTGAGAAGTAAAGTTTCTCTTGACGAACAAAGATCAAATTCTACAAGTCACTCATCATCCCCGTTTTGCTGCATGATGCAAAGGCTTGAACGATGACAACATCTGATGAGTCGACGTTACGAGTTTTCGAGAGAAAGGTTCTGCGGAAGATTTATGGTCCTTTACGCATTGGAACGATGAATTGTTTGTTATATACGACAACATTGACATAGTAGAGCGAATTAAAAGACAGCGGCTACGCCGATTGGATGAGAACACTTCAGATGTGAGAGTATTCGACGTAGTACCAGCCGGAAAGAACAGAGGAAGATCTTCACCCCGTTGAAAATACCAGGACCTGGCTACACTCGGAATCACCAATTGGCGCCAAATAGTGAAAAAGAAGAACGACAGCCCGCCAGTAATTTTGTTATAACCGCGTAAGCGTAATTCGAGAAGAAAGTAGCAAATCAAAAGAAATTTTTGTTGCTTTGATTTTTGACGATTGAACACAATAATAAATCCACATTTTCAGAGAAATATCATTGATATATTTCTAAATTCATATTTTAATTATTTTAAGAACTTTTTAACAATTGCAAACCGTTCGATTTTTTAAATCACATTCAGGTTATTTTATTAATGGTGGATGCTGTAGGTCAAAGGAGATGAGACTACTGTTTTAACAAGAGGAGCTGAGTGGACTACGGAGTGTACAACTGGGGCGGCATGTACGACTGGAGCGGCGTGAACAACGGGAGCAGCATGAAATACAGGAGCAGCGTGCGCAACCGGAGCTGAGTGAACCACAGGGGCTGCATGTACCACTGGAGCGGAGATGGTCTTCAAGACGGGGGCTGCATGTACGACGGGTGCGGCGTGGACAACTGGAACAACTGGCACCTTCCTGACAAGGTTCACATGGCTCTGGTGAGTTATGGCCGAGGATGCACTAGTATCGACATAGGCAGTTTTAGCAACCACAGCTGGTTGAACGATGGTGTGTGTCTCAGCGAGCAGACCGGGCTTGGCAGCAGCAACAGCGAGGAGGGCAAAGAATGCGACCTATATTTTTATAGAGATTATGATAGTCAATAGATTTTGATTATATGAATTAAATGAGTTACAGTCAACTTACGTATTTGAACATTTTGATTTTTGATTGGTTGCTTGGTTTACAGTTAAGTGGGAACTGATTATTTTGTTCGTTCTGCTCAGCCTCTTTATACAAAATCATTTGCCGCATAGCACCAAGCCCAACATCAATCAATTTGGTTACCATAGTTTATTTGTTGTTGGTAATGAGAGACGAAAGCTGTGTTAATAAGAAAACTAATGAATATGATGGAGTAGAAACGATAAATCCATGCTTATCACACAGCTATGTGTTTAATCGGCTAGTGAAGTACAGTGTGGGTTAAAAATTAACCGGTTTTCGTACGAGTACCTAGGTCTATGTATGTTGGCAGGCGTTAGATCATTTGCTCTCACATTTATAAATTCGATGGTAAATATGGTATGATGATATTCGGGTGCTTGATTAATTGAATGCATTTAAGGGAAGTAAACATTTTTATGATTTGACCGTTTGTTTTCAATTATTTGTTTGTTTATTGGCAATGTAACTTTGTTAGATTGATAAAAAATTCGCGTATGAATTAAACAGAAGCACTCAATTAAAATTTGTGTAAGATAACAAAAAGTAATGAAGATCATAAAACCAAATATTGGGTCTAAGGACACCATATTATGAACGTGACAATTCCGGCGCCCACTGACCTATGGTACAAAGGTACGTCACTGATTACTTAGTAAACTCTATGTTCTTCATTCTGATACTTAGACTCTTGCTTCGAGTATTTTAGGATGTTAAAAGCAATCATGAAAATAAACACAGAAAATTTAAAATAAGTGTGCGCTCTAAAAGATTTAGTGAGCATATCTCAGTCGCTCTGTTATTTCTCTACGTAAATACTATGGAAGTGGGTTAAATTAGCTGATAACTACTTCCCCTCTTTATATAACGCTTATGCTGAAAACTAACTAATTTGTTGAATTTTTGAATTTTTAAATTCTCCAATTTTATTTCAAACATTAAAAAAACTATAAGTTTCTGATTATGTCCCTATATACTTGATATTTAGAACCTTCCCTATCCATTTACAATTTTGTTTAGTTTTTATACTCTCGCAACAAAGTTGCTAAAGAGAGTTTTATAGTGTTGTTCACATAACGATTGTTTGTAAGCCCTAGAACTAAAAGAGTCAGATATAGGGTTATATATACCAAAGTGATCAGGGTGACGATTAGAGTTGAAATCCGGATGTCTGTCTATCCGTCCGTCTGTCTGTCCGTCTGTCGGTCGGAGGTTAAGTTCGAAGATGGGCAAAATCGGCCCACTGCCACGCCCACAAAATGGCGGAAACTGAAAACCTATAAAGCGTCATAACTAAGCCATAAATAAAGATATTAAAATGAAATTTGGCACAAAGGATCGCATTAGGGAGGGGCATATTTGAACGTAATTTTTTTGGAAAAGTGGTCGTGGCCCCGCCTCCTACAACCTTTTTTGTACATATCTCGAAAACTACTATAGCTATGTCAACCAAACTGTATAGAGTAGTTTTTTTTAGGCATTTCCATATACAGTTCAAAAATGGAAGAAATCGGATAATAACCACGCCCACCTCCCATACAAAGGTTATGTTGAAAATCACTAAAAGTGTGTTAACCGACTAACAAAAAACGCCAGAAACACTAAATTTTACGGAAGAAATGTCAGAAGGAAGCTGCATCTAGGCTTTTTTTAAAAATTGAAAATGGGTGTGGCGTGGCCCACTTATGGACCAAAAACCATATCTCAGGAAGTAGTCGACCGATTTCAATGAAATTTGGTACATAATATTTTCTTAACCTATGATGTACCAAATATGGGTGAAAGCGGTTCACAAGCGCACCTGAAATCTCGATTATCACTTCATCATGCGAGAGTATAAAATGTTTGGTGACACCCGAACTTAGCCCTTCCTTACTTGTTGTTATTAACTTTAGACATATATTTATGGGTTTAAAATCAAGCGAAACTGCTAGAAATTTAGTATAGAATATTACGCTTGTGTTGCAAATAAACCCTCAAACAAACAGTACTTTTACCTTTTCAACTACCCAGACACCGAACATGCATACCTCGGTTCTTATACTCATTATATAATAATGAAATTGATTTCCTGTTAATAGTGACCCCAATCTCACTACCTCTAGCCGTATCTTATTATTAAATTTATAACGCATTTAAGATGTTTTCGCCTACTTATTTCACCGCATTATGAAAATTGCGAGAGTATAAAGCCACTAACTCTTATTCCAATAAATTTGAAATTGTTATTTTTAACTAATTATATGTATTACTAGAGGACCCGTAAACGCTTCACTGTGGCTGATACATAGATAATACTACTACTACCGTCTATAATATCATTTATATTAGTTGGATTATAACTATAAGTTAATGAGATATAGCATTTTTGTTAAGCAACTTTTATTAGTTCATAATCTAACAATAACAACGAATAAGTGATTCTGAGAAGTGTTTGAGTGCTCTTTAATCGGAATGGAACCGAATTTTTGCATTGGTGTGTGACAATAGAAACATAGCTCCATCATTTCCCACTGGAGTCCAATCGACAGTCATTCTAGTGGACTGCACGTGATGAAGCGGTCCTCAGGTGTGGAAAGACGAAAAAGTGCGCTAGAAAGGTTATGACATCAGTCTTTTGGAGTGCACGTGGTATAATACATACTCAAAGACTGATTACTGAGCCAGCTATAATCTATTTCACTGCGTATTTGGTTGCACTTCTTTTCTACTATTCTAAATTGTAGCAATTGTATTATTTTTGAGGAAGAATCTATTTAAAATTGTGCGCCTATATTCATATGATTCCTACAAACAAGAGTTTTTAACAAATACCTATGTATTGAATTTTGACATAAAGAGATTAAAAGTATTCTATGTCCTTACCCTGGTTCTGAACTACCTATCCGCCAATTTTCAGCCAAATCGGTTCAGCCGTTCTTGGGTTATAAATGGTGTAAGTAACAAAACTTTCTTATATATATATAATATATAGATATATATAATATATAGAATATATAATATATAGATATATATATATATATATTATATATAGATTTTACTAGTATATAATATTGGGTAATATAAGTATGTACAACAAATAAGCATTATCAGTAAATACACTTACGTATTTATGTGCGTGCGTATACATTCTTATGTTCATACAGTCCAAATTCAGACGATTTCTTAGTAAGCAATTTAAACGAAATAAACTACTAAGTTTGAGCGCACAATTAGCGAGCTCAAAGCAATTACATATTGCCACTCAGCTGTCGGAGTTACCTTTTGCTCCTACTGTGAATTGGCGGCAAAGGATATAAATATTGTTTAATCATATTCAAATTATTTAATTACTTAATTATTAGATATCATTAACAAAATCAGCGTTTCGGGTGATCATATGTGGATCTCGTTTCAGAACATGTCCGAGCCAGAGCTTTTAAAAGTCTGATGATACGAGTTTCCATATTTTGCAGTCGTGCAGAAGTGAAATCGTAGACTTAAAATTGGAGTTGTATACTTTTATTTTGGTACGCTATATAATGATCTGGTAGCTTTTAGGCGCCGAAAGCTTGCTTCATCTTTTTTTATATGGTTGGTAATGTCCTCCACCCTACAAATACATATATGTAAAACTAACCCGGTAATAAAATAATTAATTTTCGGGTTCTATATCATCGACTTGAATGGGTTTGCCAATGTTAATTCAAAGCCCTCCTTTCGCTGCAATGAAAAGAAAGATGCAAGGTTTTCGAGTCAAATTTTGTTCAGCGATAATGCCTATTTCTTACTCAATAGGTATATAAACAAACAAAACTGCCGAATTCGGGACGAGGAGCAAACTGAAGTGATTCAAAAGCTGCCATTTCATCCAGAAAAAGAAACGGTTTGGTGTGGTTTGTGGGACGGCGGAATCATCGGTCCATATTTCTTCAAATATCATATGATGATGATAAAATTGAAGCTCGTCCTTTTGGAGACATTTCGTTTGAACAAAATGGCGCCACCTCCCACACGTCGCATCAATCAATGGATTCATTTAGAGAACACTTCTATGAGCAGCAAATTCCACGTTTTGGACCTGTCGATTGGTCACCAAGATCGTGTGATATCACATCGTTACACTTTTTCCATGTCCAAGCGGACGATCCCGCTTCAGTTCAGGCTTTGGTGTAAAACATCACGAGTGTCATTCGCCAGTTACCAGTTGAAATGCTCAAACTAGTCATCGAAAATTGAACTCAGCGGATGAACCATCTGAGACGTAGGCACACCCAACATTTGAATGAGATAACCTTCAAAAAATAAATGCCAAATACTGTTCTTTTGAATGATAATAATTCCCAATTAAGTTTAATGTTTCTTTGTTTTTTCTTTAACATAAGTAGAGAATCTCGAAATGGATCACCCTTTATAAGTACTCCCTGTTCTAAACTTACAATTATTGCTGCTCTGACAAATTCAGCTATTTTTGCAAACACAGCGACCATGGTCTTGGGCGGTGGAAGAAGAGAAAGACACATTCGCTTAGACATATATCCATATATCATACAGTTTAAAGACGTGCGCTTATATACGCATGAACGTTTCGGCAAACAAAGTTAATTGCTTACATAATCAGATCATCCAAATTAACTTAATGCTAGCAACAACAAAAGGCCAAAACTAAAGAAAATAAAACTCCTTTAAATGCGAAATTAAAGAAATAAAAGTAACGCAATAAAAAAGCAGTAAAATAAACAGAGAACAGCAGCACTAAAGAGAGATTCATATCGTTTTTGTTACCGTTTGATGTTGCATGCTGCAATGGTGATGGCTGGCGTCAGTTGCAGTTGTCAAAATTATAGGTTAAGTGCTTTAGGGCAACCTTGACATAGGGACATACATACACATATACTTATAACACACTAAGCCGTTAAAACATCTCCCGTATGAGAGTTGTATAAACATGTGTGTATGTATACGTATGTGACTTGGATGCTGCGGTTAGTTAGTGGGCCGGTTCTACGTACTTCAATTTTAAGTGAGCTTAATTGTCTTGCATTTATATA